AGGAAAAGTTATCATCTTGAGTGACTGGTACTCTCACACGCTGTGAAGACACAAATCTATTCTCACCAGTAGAATGATCTTCGTCGATTTCATCTGAAGATGAAATACCCAAGCAGTCATCAGACTCGCAGTCTTCTGTAGGCACGGGATTGTCAGAACAAACGGAGTCTACATCGCTGCAATCTTCGTTACGGGTCTCCTCTTCTTCCACCATCTTGTTATATTTTCGTCGTTTTTATTCACGTTGACACTAAAACAAAACAAATACACGTAATACAAAATAATTACGTAACTTCCTACGCGCGGTCACCATGACCGCTCACGAGATTTTTTTACTCACCCAAGCTAAACGTGTGCACTTGTAGCCTCGCTGAGCGCATGCGCGGCACTAACCGAAAAGTAGAAAACTAGAAAAGGCACATAGACGCACGCCAACGCGCGTAGCAGTTTAACGGAAAAAATCAAATTCAAATATTCGGCGGAGTCACGGTGACCGCGGGCAGGAACTTAAGGGTTAAAAATAAAAAAAATAATCAACAAAAACTTTTTTTCTAACAAAATTAACTCTTCATAAATTAGAAACCTATATGAGATCAAAAAACTTGTAACTTAGAATAAAAAAATACATGAAACCATAGGCTGAAAGTTACTTTTAGTATGCTGAGAATGCTGAGATACATTTTTATGGGAATCTATAATAAAAATTATTAGAACCAACCACATCTTCATATGACTCTTCTCCGAATCAGTTTCTAATACGTTCCTCTTGTGATAAACTCATTCGTACTCTTAATAATAATTACACTTTTATAACGTCATTGGTCGCGTAGGATCAACTGACGCCCGTGCGCGTAAAATAAGCCCGCAGCGTTCCAGTGCACGGCGCAAACTGAAAGATCACACGTTTCTGTCGCGTATTTAGTCGCTATAAGAAGGAAGCTAGAGTTTGAATGCGATAAAAATATTAGCATTTTAAATATTTAGAAAATAAACTTGACGGGCGTTTATTCACCCCACACGACTAAAGGCGGGTTAATTATCTTGTCGTCTAGAACTGTAGTTAAATTACCACTGTTGCTAATGCTCTGATTAGTTTTTAACGTTTTTGGATTACTTATTTTTTTTTAATCCACGTATTCTATCATTATTTTCGTCTACTTTAGGTATATCTTCCTTATCATTGCCGTTCATTGTCAAACCAGTATCTGAAATTTAATCACAAAACTTTAGTATTTTACTCCTGTGGTAAGTGCGTGGGTCTAAGAGTGTAAAAATGGTGTTTGTATACGAAAGTGAAGGTATGTACTGAAGAATGTGCCGAGAGAATAAAATAATGTGTTTATGCATTTGTGGAATCGGAGGACGTGTGTAACTTAACTGTTAAATTTTGTTAATTACTGTTTGAATTGTCATGATTATCATTCTGACATTGATCGATACTTTGGTTAATAATTCTAAGTGTAGTCTTTAAGACATGGAATTTCCTGAAGAATGGCCGTGGTGAATACAGAATGTTCTAGGCTACCTTATTTATCACATCATTAGGCGTCGTAAATTCGAAATAATAATATTCCGTAGTATCGGCATTATTTGCTGCGTTATTGCATTTATTTAACGATTGTAAATGATTTTTGCCATGTTGGAGAATCAAATTGTTCTTGCCAATAATATTCCGATTATCTGAATTTATACCTGTTTTTTTTTAAAATCCGTTTGAAATAAAAACTGGATTTAAATTCTCCCATATACGAGTAAGAATTTTAGCGAATTCGCTTTTGGCCAATTTGAAGTCAACATGCATCCTTTGCCACTTGATGAGTTCTTCGTCCCACCTGTCCTTCAATTTTGTTTGTGTTTCATTACACTGCAATCTAACGGTGTTTCGTTCACGCTCAAATCTACATGAATTGAATGCCCGTCATATATCAGAAGAATAGACCTCTCGCTTCCAATCGCAGGTACAAAAACATCTTTCATGTACTTCTCGAATATACTCGTCTCCATCCAATCTTTCTTGCTTACAGCATAAGCTGTTTTTATAGTTTCGTTCTGGTAGAACCACTCTTTTCGTAAATATTTTCCTTAGAACATAATAAGAGGCGGGATTTTATCGCCATTTTCATTCTCTGCGAAGAGAACGGCGGTATCTGTTCTACCTAGTGAATTAGTAGTTCTAGTGCAACGATGATCAATTTTTCCGACAACCTTGCTTTTTGATGGACTCTGACAAAATCTCGTTTCGTCAAGATTGTAAATACGATCGGGTGAGGACGGTAAATCCAAATCTTGAACAATTTCTTCGAGTATTTCAAATTACTCATTCACTGTAAAGGGATTGCATGCTTTTCTTCTGGCAATTTCCACTGATTGCGGCTTTTTGAGCGACAGACAGTGTATTTTTATAAAGCCTCGGAACCAATCGTCACCTGATAAGTCAATTTTAAATACTGTTACGATACTATTCCTTTGGATGTATTGGCTAATCAATGATAAAACTTCCTTGCGAGTTAATGGATAACCGTACTTCTACATCAATAGACAATACAATTGCACAGTTCATTTTCGGTTTCGAAATCTTTGAGTACACTTAATTTTTAATAAAACCCCATAAAAAGAAGTCTAGAGGAGTGAGGTCAGGCCACCGATCTGGCCACTTGAAAACCTTGTGCATTCAGGTTTCCGTCAATAAAAATAGGGTCGATTATTTGATCTCCGTGAATGCTTGCCCAAACCTTAATGGAAAATTGGTATTGATGAGCTGATTACCTAAATAAATGAGGATTCGTATGGCTTCAGTGACGCATGTTTTGTCGGTTCCATATGCCGTTTCGAGTAAACGTGCTTTCATCTATCCATAACACATTTGATAGGAAACGTTGGTCTTGAGACATTTTTTCCAGTACCCAGTGGGTAGTAAGACACTCTAATCGGCTGATCACGGGGCAGCAGCGCCTGCACCTTTGCATATTTATAAGGACGTAGTTTGTTCCTTTTCAGCACTCGATGTATTGTTCTATGCCTCACTCTAAACACACGCCCAGCTTATTTAAGGCTGCAGGTTGGATTCCGATCGAAATGGTCTAAGATTCATAGTTAGAAAGTGACGCGGAGCAATTCCTTTATGAGTTTTGGGTGCTGATTTTACCTGATTCTTTGGACAGCACCCAAGATTGTCCGGACGCTAGTAGAGCAGGCGCGAGTTGCGCCGTATCTCTCACGATAAGTACGCAGAGTTAACGGTCAATTTTGACCGACATTAGCTATACAATAAAACCACGTATGTATACTCCGCCGCGCTGTCAAAATGCTGTTGTCTTGGCATTTTGTTCAAAAAAGACACGCGTAATCTAATAAGTGTCCATTTCACCGTAAAAAAAAAAATGTTTAACTATTTGTATTTATCTTACGGAAAAAAAATCACACACTATCCCGGAAGAATCGCGGTGAACTGAAAGTTCGAAACTTCCAAATTCCAACATGGCGATAATAATAAAAATAATAAATATGGCGGGCACAAGATGCAATTATCGTTTATCGATACTATTCTTTTACACTTACCTATTACCTAAACAAGGCATTTGATTACAAGTAATTTTGATTTATAACAATTGACAAGTTATTGATTGTTAAAAATAACTACCTACTAATTGGTTGTTTTTATTATTTTTTTATCCAAGAACAAGAAGTACAGGAACACGTAAACAAAAAAGCTTTAATTGTTAGCTTTAAATACTTAGGTCGTAGTGTTTTTAGAATTATCATAACAGCACGATAATTCTGTCCTGCCCTAAGTTTTTTTATTTTATTAAGCATAATTATGTTACATTATCCAGTACAATACTAGCATATAAACCTCTAGGGGTTTATCTACACTAGAGAGTCGTCTTATAAAAACAAAGATGTATTAATATTAAATCACAATAATCCAGTATGAAGTACTTACTACAATAAGTATGGTTGATTTATCAAATATGATTTAAGTTTACTTTTAAACAGTTTTGATTTACCGTATGTGTTTTGTAATTCTAGTGGCAAGGCATTAATAAAAGTAGGTACAAGATGGGCCAACTTTCTTGCTCCATAGAAATTTTTAGTTTTCGGAAGTACATACATGGATTTATAAGCTATATTTCGTAGATTTACAGGTCGTTTTCTAAGAACCAGGTATTCTGAATTATTTACTTCAGTCAGTATATTAAATTTAACTTTATCGAAAACATTTATGATTTTGCAATAATTAAAAATTTAAATATTTAATTTATTTAATTTTTTAATTAATTTAAATATTTAAAGTTAAACATGTTTTTTTTGTTTATCGACCATTACTCCCTTTGAAAGAAGCTCATGGTTGATAACAGGTGTCCTACTCTACGACACAGGCGTATGCGCACTTCCGTCGTCGACTTTGAAGAACATCGCTTTTTAATATTCAAGGATTCAAGTTCATTGTATCATTGATAGTGACCCCATTTCTACTGAGAGTTCAAATTTGCTTAAAATTAAAACTACTTTTTGACCTAATTACTGGATCGATTACGTTCATTTTTTGTATATCGTCAGCAAAGGCGATAACAATTGTGTGGTTTAACTTATTGCATTTATGTGGGACCCATTCTGTATATGTTCGTCTCTTTTTAGTGTCGTATTTTCGTTTCAAATCACAACGATTTTAACGAAGTTTTCACTTCAAAACGTGGTAGAATCAAAATTATTAAGATGGTATTTCTGACTTTTTTTAAAGAAAGTTACCATCTAAAATAAGATTTACTCCTGTATCGTAGAGGCGATAGCCATTCATAAATTACAAATGAGCAAACCTTCAGAGTCAGAACAATTATTTGTAGGCCATATAAACAATTAGCCATAGTGTTTAGGAGCTGTCGTTTGTACGTATTTTACGTCCGAGCCGTATTAGCACTTTTCCAGTGTTCATTGCTTCTTTATCATCTTTTTTTTTTGTATATCCATATTGTTTTTTAATACTAACATTTCTGTTACAGCTTCAACATCACAAATGGACCCATTGGATGTTGGATTAAAGGAAGATGTTTCTGCAAAAATTGATCCAGAAGACATAGAAATAGCTACTACATTCTCGTGCATAGGTATCCGTAACTCGGACCTTATGAGTGATGAACAGATGCAGTCCGTCCATTATGCACTCAATCGAGCCATCATGAAGATAGGGCGTAAGGAAGCAGGACCACGGTTTACTGGCTTCATTCACATGCAAGGCTGGATTCTGGTCAACTGTGCCAACCAGGTTAGCCAGGACTGGATTGTTCAGAAAATTGACAACCTGAAACCCTGGCCACAGGCTGAGCTCTCTGTAATACCGGAGGATGAATTACCTCAGGTTCAAGTTGGGACCATATTTGTACCTCGCAGCGAAGCGGAATCTCCCGAAGAGGGTTTTCAGCTACTAAGGGCACAGAATGATGGTCTCAACACTGAGCTCTGGACAATCCTTCAATGTCGTGACCAGGTGCACGGGTTTTTAGTGACCTTGTCCCTTGACAATCCATCAGCGGATGCCATCCGAAAGAAAGGTTGCATAGTTGCTCTTGGCTTCAAATTTGTGACCTTCAAAATTTATGGAAAATCTTACATAAAATATGAATCAGATCTAAACCGTTATTAAGCTCGAATTGACGAAGCGCTCTACTGTTTGTGTTTAGAAGAGGGGAAGGAAAAGTAAAAGGAAATGGACAAGGAAGGGTCAAAACCACAATAGGACGTCTATCCTTAGTGAATAAAATCCTTTCATGTAATATTCATGTACCCATAGTGTATTGTTACTCGTATCTTTGGGGTGTAACTATACTAAAATAATATAGATCTCGTGGTAAGTACTGCAGGCAAGTCTTGTATAAATTATAAACACATTGTATGTAGTAGAGTCACACTGCTGCTATATTATGGTTGTAGCACGAATGGGTCAGTTCGACCGGAGTGACCGTGACCGTGCTTTCTCAGAATACCAGTGTAAAAAAAATGCGTTTTTCGTATGCTGAGAGACCACCAGAGACCTTTTTTTACTGGAATAGAGGCATATCATATTAACCGATTCAGTGCGGATGGTACGCCAGGCGTGCCATCGATTATTTTTGTGTGGCGTATGACATGCGAGTCGTGTCTTGTTAAACTCGCACAAATTGCGTTTTTGGAACATTTATGCAGAACAAAATATTCATTATTTTGCAAGTAGTTCATGCCTACAGCTTCGTTTCTGGATATTTTGAGAATTTGAAATTTTTAGAGGTTGAAAACCTTTTTTTAATTTGTACATGGTACTCTTTACTGTGTGGGTTTTTTTAAAAATCATGTTGTGGAAAAAGTCTAATAAGTAACAAATAGCAATCATTGCGATCGCTCACAAATTCAAGTTGTAAATAAGTTTCTGGAAAACAAGTCTCCTGTTAAAAAAAAAAACAATGCGTTTGTCTTATTGTTTAATTTTGCTTAAAATGGTTGAACTGCCGTCTTATTACTATCATATAGCCGAATAGACCTACGAAGTACCATGTTCTCTTGTGATATGGTATAAGGTTTATTTTTGCTTGAAACAGTTCGAACCCTAATATAAAAAAAGTTAGCATAAAATTGTATTTTGTCCATGTCCACGTCTTTAGCCCGCCGTACAGCGCCGGCGCATCTAGCTATTGTTTTTTTTCCTTTAGAAAACACTTTTGTTTTGCTATTCTTACTAATTAGACGTTTTCAGATCGACTTTACTTTTACGTTTTTTTAACGGTAAATAATATTATAAAATTTGTAAATATCAATGAAACATAAACCTTATTTTTTCTAAATTATGGTTCTTGATCGTTTGATATTTACAAACGTTATTATTAGGTGAAAATTTAATTTAATAAAAACCATAGTTCTTCAGGATGACTTAGCTGTACCTATTTATGTAAATGTTTTTTTTAAAAATATAAAACAAAAAATAGTACCAAAGGTTTGTAATCTCTGCCTAAAAAGTCACTTACACTCATTTTCAAGGAAAACACGTAGAACAACACGTAGTTACCCACTAAAAACAAGTATCCTTCTGTTTGCAACTGATGTTTGATGTCAACTAAACTTAATTAGGTTTAAACAAGTGAAGAAAACATAAAAAAGAAAATTATTTTTATACATGGCTGATGGCACTATAGGCGTGTCATTAAGTTCTATCACGAAATATTTGTTCGCCGCCACAGCTAAAATTTGTCGAAAATTGGTGCCGCAACGAATCGGTTAATGCTCGGGAGTGATAACGCATCTGCATTTTGATTCCCAATTAAGTCTAGGTGTAGAAGTCTATGGGCCACAGCTACCACTTACCATCAGCTGGGTTATTTGTTCGTTTATTATATATTATTATTAGTATATAAACCCCACTGCTGGGTAGACACAGGTGGGGCTTCTCACCTTTTTGAGAAGGTTGTGGAGCAGTCTGTCACGCTCTTCCAGTGCTGTGGCAGACTTCAATGCCTTCGAAATATTTTATCCTTCAGACTCCAGGTTTCCTTACGTTTCATTCAGTGCAATTATAAGCTTATTAATGCCTGCTAAAGATACATTTATAATATGTTAATACGTGATGAGAAAAATTTTACCTGTTTTTAAGCATATTGCGTGCACGGAGGAGTGTGAGATTTAGCATACGTATAGTTCATACAATATGTAACAAAATTCCAGTGGTTCCTGTTAAGTGCGTTATCAGAATCAGTATTCAAAGGCATAGAAATAACTTCGATAATAATAATCAAATTAAATTTAAATTAAATAATATTGCATACATTAAGCGAAAGCGCAAGGTATGTTCTACTATCGCCTAAAAATTAAGATTCCAACGTTTTATCGAATAAAATCGTATCTAGCAATCATATTGTACATATAAATGATATAAAAAGCAAAAGCACATTGTTAGAAAGATAAATGATTGTTGAACTTATTAATATTTTTTTTAAATCGATTAATTGCTATTTTTAAATAAAAAAGGGTTTTAGTGGCTTATGGTGTGGATTTATTATGTCCCTGTGGCTTGTAAACGCGATAACTTTTGAAAATATCAATTAACTCAATCTATTTTTTAATCTCTTCATCTATCATGTGAGAAGCCACTGAATGTAAATGGCAGTGTAATTTTGTTTTGTTAAGCTATAATTAATTTTTTTCGGCTCCAAAATGGCGAAATTTTCGTTGATTTGGTAGCCTTGTAAATAAATTATTTCTGTAAATGGGGAGCTACAGCCACAGAGTAGTTTAGTTCAGGGGGATGAAACTGCCATACAAATTTCCAAGAACAAAAAATGCATTAAAAGTTCTGCCCTCTAGTGAACTAGGTACACAAACTTGTAGGCTAGTTTTGTTCAGCGTTGTATAGATGGCGCTAATTTGTCCAAAACCCCAGAATCCAAAGTCAAAAAAAACCTAAATCTATGGCAGTATTGGTCTATGGTTATGGTTGACAAATATAATCACTACGTTTAAGAGGCGGGACTTCCATAGTAAAAATAATTGCATGAAATTACGCCAAGTTACTCTACCAACATCAAGATATGACATTTAGTTTTGAGAAACAGTGCTGACAACATTGACGAATTACAATAGTGCTGTAAATGTCTATCCTCGAATAATTTTATCGATATAACGTTTATCGATACATTGTTTATCGATTATTTTTACATAAGAAAAGTTAGTGAATTATTTATGAGAAATAAAATTTTTAACGTGTGGATTGAGTAAAAATGCCGATGAGGATAAGAAATCAATGTATTTTACACACAGCAATTTGTATTTATAGCTCTACAATTAGGTACAAAAGTATGTATAAAGAAAATATAAAATAAAAAACTTTTATACTAGTAATTAATTAAGTAAAAAATAAATGACGACTCCGTAGCGCAGTGGCTAAGCGTTTGGCTGCGGCATTGCAGGACCGAGGCTTCCTTCCCGTCCTGAAAAATTGTTGCTATGCTGTAAAATAAATAGTCTATATCTGGATGCTTGTTTTCAACATTAGTTTTTTTAAGGGTAAAAATATTGGGTTTTTAATACTGATTGGATTAAATTGCTTTTATGTGTAACAAATACTATGTACAAATCGCTAGGCTTCTTCACAGAGGCACCTATGTACATACTATTCGCAGAGATCGTTTACTAATTGTCGCTTTCAAAATAAGTGCTCATTATAGCTAATGTTTATTGATGAATAAAATAATAATTTAGTTATATAATCTAATTCTTGCCAAAATGTGACTTTAAAGGGATATTATCTATTGCTACATGTAAATGAAACCTAATTAACATACACATAAATTGTGGAAGTTTAAAGTAAGTCCACTAAAGAAATAACAGTTCGTTTTAGTTGGGTTCATATGCAATGTTTGTCACAAATATGTCTTAACATGTGAATCTTTTCAATTGGTGCATGTGCCAGCTATTTCACCCATTGCTTGCATCTGAAAAAATAATATAAATAAAATCACATTATTATTGAACAAATAGAATGTTAGCAGTCAGAATGGACTTGTAGTTTCTAAGTATAGTTCGTTTCGGATTGCCAAACCATCGAACTATCAGATTTAGGAAATAGTGTGTTTGTATTTGTGCACACAATCGTAATATAAAAACATGTCCTACACAGATGGCTAGTCCAAAAATATACTCGCGTTGAATATCATATTACTATTAAAGTTGAAATCACCACATACCTTTCATCATCTAAGGGAAATATTGTTACGAATAGCCTTTTCTTGTTATCATTTTTTCCGCTTCTTGCACCATTTAATTAGAAAGTTTTATAATGCATATTTAATTTCTTAACAATTCTGTAAATGAACAACGGCTCCTATAGCAAAATTAAAAGCAATCTTAATAAAATATATACAAATATAATTGTTTGATTTGACATTTGAACTTATTTCATTTGACAATGTCGTTAATAGACATATCACGAAAAGCATAAAGAAGAGCAACCGTCATTAAAATTTGACCCCTGTAGTACATATAATTTTTACTATGGAAGTTGCACCAGCCTGCTCGGTTGACAGTTCTTTCTAATAAATACGAATATTATTGATAAAGTCCTTTTCATGAAAGAAGTCCCCCAGACGCAGCGCTGTACTCGCGTGACATAGTGTTGCCATTTATGAGTAAAAATTTACCTATTTTATATTTAGCATATGTAATTTATCAAATAATATTATTTCCTGCAGACTTCGATGAAACTATTAAATTGTATTAAGAAATAAATACATTTTAGATAGGCTGTAATTTCATTACTCAAGCCAATACTATAACAATAGTTCAGATTAGTGAAACATGTATATTTCTGATAAGTGAAATGTATATTTGGGCATTTTTATCAAAATGTCTACCAACCCACTCATGGGATGACTCATGCAATAAGTCCAATTAACTAACGTTATTATGACTATGTAAGTGTCGTGTTATTATTAAATAGTTTCAGTGTTTAGGTGAGAAACTATAAACAAAGCAATAAAAGCCGACGATTTTTGGTCATGATCAGTACTGGGAAACGTGGGATGTCACATTTCCTAGTTTAAGTTTATTTAAACATAAATTTTGATAAAAATGTCCATTTACACAATTTACTATATTTCTGTTATGTAAAAAGTATATTTTTATTTACTTTTATAAGCGGTGTTTCTACCTACTTATAGGGAAAAGATGAGAAAATAGGGTAAAGAAAAGCATTACAATTTTTTATTCAGAGTTTTATTGAATAATTGTGATCAGCGGCCATAGGAACATCACTGTCTGAAGAGTGGATGGAAACTGAATCACATTCTGTTTCAGTATCACTAGCCGTAGATATAATTATTCGGTCCGTCTCTTCATCCATAAGGCCGTCATTTTTTAAATATTCCTCCTCTAAATGTTCGACATGCGTGCACTGTACTGTCCAATCTTCCGCCGTAATAGACTCAAATGCCTCTACAGTTAATTTTACAATTTCTTTTGGATCTTGTGCCACATTCTTATCCGCCACCTTTCTTTATAAGGCTCCAGATTTTCTCCACCGGGTTGAGGTCGCAATGGTAAGGCGGCAACCTTAATACTTCGTGTCCGTGAGCTGTTAATAATTCATCCACTGCAAATGTTGGTGGACCTTTATTTTGTTTGATTAGCTCAAACAGCACAGCTTTTCTCCAGGTATCTTCAAAATATATACCCTTTTGCCGGAGCCATTCCTGCATACTACTTTTTATATTTGACATTGAAGGGGCTTTGTTTTATTGAGTGCAATGGTAAGGAGCGTTGTCCATTACCACAAGCGACCTTTCAGGTAGATTAGGTATTAATTTTTCCGTCACCCATTTTAAGAAATTTGCAGAGTTCATGTCGAGCCTTTACCGCCGTTTTAGCGCAACCGACAAAAAACAAATTTTACAAGAGAAGGTTTTTTTTAAACATGTTTTAATAGAAATGTGCTAGTAAATTGAAATTTTACATACATTATTTATTTTCAGACATTTACATATATAATGGAAAAAAATACAAAAATATTTAGTATTTAAGCTACTTATGTCGCTTAATTTATTTTTGCTGTCATAATCTAAGGTTGTTTTGGCATTTACGATAAAAATATCCATTAATATTACTAATACAATAAACTATATTTTGATAAATGAATTGATATTTTAAAAGACGTTTAAACGAAATAGTTATAAAATATTGAAAATGAAAATTTATTTCTATTTAACAATTAGAGTAACGAGATCAATCAGCATAATTATAAACCTAACTAATTATTTAAAATGAAATAAAGTATTTCTTCTCGTATGAAAGATCTTAGCGCGTTTTCACTGAACACCAGGGTTATCATGGTTTTTACACAAAACATTAATTCAATAATTAAATCAATCATTTTGATTAGTGAGATCAATATTGTATTAATATAAAATTAAATTAAATATTTTTAATTCTCCTCATCTTCATCTGTTTCAGCTAAAGCATCACGTACGTTTTCATCATGCTTCATACTTAAATATTCTTGATAGTATCTGTTTGAAATCACATTTTTGTTACACAGATCCTGTAAATCTTTGTATTTAGCTAATGAAAGTTTGAGCTCTTCGGCGTATAAAGGTGTAGGTCCCTTTTCCACAATAGCTTTGTTTGCTCTCGATCTGATGATGAAATCCATGTTTATTTCGTAATTGTCACTAAATTCGAAAAAACCGTATTGAAATTTAACAATAGGATTATTTTTATGAAATTGCACCACCCTTAATGAATTAAAATTAATCTTAAATTTTGCTGGTAATAAAGCTTGTGAAAAATTCTTCAAATCCATGAAGTCTCCATAGTTTAAAACATTTACGTTGTAGTTTCTAGGCTTATTTCTAGCATTAGTAAGCATAGTTGGCCACTCAGAAGGAGCCCATACTGTTTTATTACGCACAAAACTTTCAATAGTGCTATGAATTGAGTCAACAGGCATCATGGTGTGTCCCGGTAAAAGATAAGTTACCTTTATTTTCGTAATAGTAATTGCAGTTTTCAAGAAATGAATTATCATGGATATCATTGCTCGATTCCTATTTTGCCCGGCACAGCTATCGGAGTATAAATTTATCTCTGTATGGGTACCTCTTTGGTCTACCATAATCAAGTAATTAAAAAGGACTGTAACAATTTCATTACAGCCCCTTTTTCCGTCGCATTCACCCCACAGGTAACAGTAACCTTCCCTTGTACCACTTTCGTATATACTTTCATTATAGTATGCATACTTCCTGGAATAGTATAGGGTAACACTTTTACCGTGTGGAGTATTCAGGACTTTTTCTAAATCAAAGCTTACGCATAAGGAGTTAGAATCAGTTAATTTGCTCATTTTTTGGTCTTCTAAAAACAGTTGTTTACATTTTTCTTTATCTCGAATGTGATTTTTATATTCAGGGGTTTGCTCAAAAATAATTTTGTTCTCAGGTGGTAAATTTTTGCACTTCTCACAAAAAGCACATTTATCTTTTTTAGGCAGATGGAATCCGATATTAAAATCCCTTTTGAAAATGTTACGAAATACTCTTTTTGATAATACTGATGATTCTGGATTATTTTTTTTTCACGTGATTAACATACTGTAAATACAAAAACGATATATTTTGAAATTCTTGAGGTAAATATACTTTAGTGCTTTTATTGCGACAATAATGGGATGGAACAGCGGGCAACATCTCAATAAATGATTTTAACTAAGCGACTTCTACCTCGTCAGATTTATTATGAGGACGACTAGTTCTTCTGCCATCTCGAGTGGTATTCAGAGCTTTATTAGCATTTTCGATGGTGTATCTCATTGACATTTGGGATATGTTTAGGGTCTTAAGCAAAAATTGTTGACATACTTTAATATTCTGTCCATTGTAGCTAATAAAATAATCGTATGATATTTTGCGAACATTACTACTGGATCTTTTTCTTCCAATCGGTTTTTCTTTAGCACAGGACAGCAGGAAATCTTTTTGTCTTTTATCACAACCTAATCCCCAATAGTTTTCAAAAATATTATTGCGATCATCTTCCGTAAATTTATTTGCACATGAGTTACCAAATTTTTTATTCATACAAGGGTTTGGTTGTATAGATTTCCCTACAGCAGCCTTACGATTTTTTTTTTGCTAAAAGTCGTTTTGGTAAAGGTTTTATTTTCCTATATCCTCTTTTACCAACACTTGTTTCTTCTTCTATTGTTTGAACTGACTTATCTTCATCCGAATCACTGGACGATGAGGCAGGCTTCCATGAATCTTCACTATCAATAGAGGTAATGCTGTCGTGGGTCTCCAAATTCTTGGACACATTTAGTTCTTGTTGGTCAAACAGTGAACTGGTGCTCGGTTGTATTAATTGATTAATGAAAGCTGGCATAGTAGGATCATAAGTTGTTAAGTCTTTTATGTTCTGGTTATCTAAATTCATTAAAGTGTAAGTATTCTCAGTATCTGAATCACTGTAATCGACAAGTTTAGTTTGAGGTAATGGTGTTAATAATGCGTTAGTATTGAGCTCAGAATTTAAATCTGTATCACAAATATAATCGATCAAGGAAGGTGATGTCGTATCAGTTAATATTGGGTCCATGTCAATATCGTTGTAGCTGTCTGTTAGTAAGAATTGATCTAGAGCTGGGGCCTTATCTTGCTGTATGTTCTCGGGAAAAGCAGTTCCAGGATTACTCTCTTCTGATATGAGAAGTGGTGATATTAACTGCATAATTTTCTTCATTCGTGACTATAAAAAGCAAATAATAACTTAAAAAGAATCACATAATAATAAATAAAGCATTAATGGACAGACGTAGGCAGTGACCTACTACGACTGCTTATTTTATACCAGTGGTGCGCCCTCGCTTTGCTTTGGTTAATAAGATTTCCCATGGGAATTTCGGGACAAAAAGTATCCATATTATTCCTGATTAACCCAGGGATAATCTAATGGTTAACGTACGTACTGGTATTAAGTTTTCCCCAATTCAATTAAAAAAATTAAAACACAAAGCATACCTTAGCTGCAGGAGTCGACATTGCTGTTTTATTTGATGTTTTGGAGTTAACTATGTGTACTTTATTTAAAACACAATAAGGAAACAATAACGAAACAATAATTAATACAATTAAAAATGTTATTATGGCTGAAACTGTTTTTTTTTGCTACAATTCAACGAGAACAATGTTTTTGTCGCATTACTTTCACGGAAATAAACAGGTCACGACAGGTTTGTTTATAGTAAACGCCTCATAGTCTATCACCTATGTCGGTTGCGATAACAAGTAGTGTCACTTGCGCTACAAAAAATTGATCGCAAGGCGCTTACGATAAAAATGCTTGTTGTCGCTTACGTTATGGCTTTAAAAATATATGTATTTACGATAATTTTAGTACTTGTAACGGTTAAATTTTGGCGGGAAATGTCAACAGGGATGGATCCGTTATGGTTTAAAATACTACTTACGATAAAAAAAAGCATTTTCGACAAAAGTGTCGCTTACGATAATTTGGCGGTAACGGCTCGATGTCATCGTGGTAATCTGAGGACTTTGATTGGGATTTAAACATTATTAATGCACCATTTATGAATCCATCTTTTGATTTCGCATGAGCGATTATTCAGCGACTCCCTGATGAATCTGAGACGAACATTCCTGGCTCCTCCTCACTCTGCTAACAACTTTTTGTATGATAAGTATTGTGTATATAGGTCTCATCTAAGTATACAACGGGTCGTTTTTCCACAGTGCGATTTATTCGTATTTTATCCAAATATCTTGCACGCCATGCGGTAATGTCGTGACGTTCCATAAGTAGTTTGCGTCTGGATTGACATCGCTTGTACTTGAAACTATGCAATGTGATGCTTCCCTGAAAATTTATATCTTCTCTAAGAGCTGCTCGTAATTTAGCCAAAGTTGGTAATTCTTTATGCACAACGTAAAAACTGTGATATTTTTGCCGGATAGCGCAAAAATCGAACCCGTCTAAGTCGAACTTTTTCGGATGCGGGCGACTCTTCCCCGGGGGTGACAATTTTTTTCGAAGAACTCGCCGCTGTTATACCTTCTTTTGTAATTCTTGTTATAGTTTTCTCAGACACACCTGCAATTAAAGAATGAACAATTAAAAATAATAGTCACTTTAAGTTTATAATGCTTATGTACTATGTAATATACGTTTTAATTTCGGTTACCTAATTTCATCACGTTATGTATTTGTTCAATTTTGTCGTAAAACGAATTTATATCATAAAAGTCCCATCAATACAGCAAAAAATTATTATATGGCAAGTACCTGTTATGGCGGCGACTCTCTTCCGAACATTGTTCAGTGGTATTAAAACACCTTGATTCTTTTGTTCAGCTTCACAGAATTCTTTCACCTTCAATATCATTTCTCGAGCCGAACTTTTTACAACTTTTGGCATTGTAAACAATCTTTAAATGCACTAAGCTAGTTTAAAACTCACAAAAATCTACCACAACTAACGAACTTGATAACATCGACGAACGACAACATGGCCGACCTGTCAAATTTAGTTCCAAAAATCACCGCGGGACTTCCTTCATGAAAAGGACTTTACGATAATTCAGAAAACGAAAATATTTTGCAACTTTTCATTCCTCTCTTGTGAAAATCACAATTTAGGCTTTATGATTATTTACTAAAGGGGAATGCCCACCGGTCATAGACACTTCGGCCATGGGTGCCCACATATAAAAGTATATAGAAATTATAATATGCAATATAAGAATGAACTGGTTAAGGAATTGGTTTAAAAAAAGTCCGGATTTTTAAAATATAAAGGTTTTTATTTTCACAAATACAGTGTTTTAACAATAATTTTACTGATACATATATATACATAATCAAGTTTTGATCAGATCTGTAAGATATTTTATAACATTATATATCATTTGTACCATACACAATTAGTATGTCATCCAGAAATTGAGCATGAGGCAAAATATTTGTCTGATGCCGTGCCCAACCCAAATACCATATTACTGTCATAACATGGGCACAGCATCCTACCGTTCGACGGCCGACAATACAGTTGCAACAATACTTTTTAATTGCACTTCTGCCAGTATCATTGCCACTTATTAAAATATATATAAAATATATTTTACGACTGATGTGTCGACTTGCAATTCTAGCCCTAAGTAAAGAGCAGCTAGGACTCAAGTTTATTCCTTCCATAATGCTGCTCCTGTGGTCATTACATACTTCGATCCGATAGGAACCATTAAATCTTATATGCTCACCGTAATAGGAGCGAGCTTGCTTTAATTGGTATGTGCCACAAGCAATTAATATTAAGTCGCTGTACGTTAAAACAGGACTTTTAAAAATGCCATTCACCACCTCTACTACCCATCGACACATAGTCACGGCTCTGGACTTATTTGCATCTCTTGTCGTTAACTGAGATTCACCATCTGCTGGAGACAAAGGTACATGAACTTGATAACCACAACGTTCTAAAAGGGGCAATGAATCCCTAAAGCCTCTATCTAGGATGAATACATCTCCTGATTCAAAGTATTGCCTTAATGAACTGGATTCATAAATAAATTCATTATTTATGATATCCGCATCTGAAGTTGTTGCATGATAAGGGCCCAGAATATCTATGATGTAACCATCACTACACACAAAAAGGAAAGGCTTTATAAGATTGCGATATTTGTGTAGTGAGTAAGTTTTTTTCTGATACAAATAATTGGAACTCTTTTCTATGTATATATATGTACCATCGGCAATTATGATAGGCCTCCTATCTTCTCCCCCATAAATTCCATTTGGAATAAGGAGATTCCTTTGAGCTATTTCTGCTCGGGATATATGATTAATGCCTACATTTAAAGGAACAAAATCCTGGTTTAAAATTTCGCGGGTCATATTCATGAGCCGCTCTAATGTGCTTCTTGGCACTTGCAATAATGCCGACATGCGTTCGTCACTATCTCCTGTTCTTAATTTCATCAAATATGCAGCAAGTGCAAAAGAACCCCTATGTTTACTTGACAGTCTCGGAACTTCAGACAGAATTTGTTCATATTGTGCCTTTGATAATCCTAGATAATAATGTACAGTATGCTCAGGCATACTGTGAATATTTTCAAAGTCTATATGATGGTTCATATTATCTTTCAATAACGTAGCGAAATCTTCAATATGTGCTGCACTGAATGTTTTAATAGGATTATATATTGATTCTAAAAGTAAATCCCAAGAGTTACTATTTAAATGGTAGTTACAGATTCTACATTCTGGAGGTACATAGTAATTGTAGTCGCAAAAAAGACGTACTCGCAATGCTGATGGAACAGTGAGTCGATTGAAATCGTTACAACCAGGAAAAAAACATTGATTTTGTGTTAGTGGTGCTCTTACATAATTAGGCAGCAGTATACTGTGTGTTGTATTATCTAAGCTTTGTTGTTCTGGATGCAATACATTGCTCACTTCAGATTGCAACGTGGACAGACTAGATAATTCAGACGGTTCCCGTTCTGCAGTTGACTGTGATACTGCTCTATCAGTCCTTCGCCAGCAATTATGACACACTCGAGATGATGATGGCAACTGAAACAATATTAAATACCAAGAATGACACCAAATTAAACAAAATAAAAATAAAATATATTTGTTTACTTTTTTAATAAAATTATAATTTTAAACTAAAACAATACTGCACAAAAGCGGACTTAATGCCTCATATTATTTAATAATTAAGGACTGAGGGACTACCAGTGGTCCACAGACAAAGAAAAATCAACTGTTTCATTTCTCGGTAGTTGATAAAATGGGTAGTCAACCCAGCAATTATCTGGTGTTGGCTGGCTTATCTTATCACCATGGTATAAATAAGCTAGAATGTTTGTCAAATATAGCTTACACAGATGTGAAAAAATAAAATAACTTCTTGGGTTGATATGCATACAGAGTAAAAATATGTATCACTATCAGATATCAGCACCACACTTAATAAATAAAAAATGTTGAACACTTACCTCACGTGGTGCAATCTGATAGGCAATCTCATTCCTTATGAGTTCCTCACGTGGAGAATCGGACCCGAACAGTGTGTGTGTGATCTTATTCTCAAAAGTGACTTGCCACAGCTGATGCATACATGTCCATGACTAACAGTTTGTGCATTTTGCTGTTCACTAGTTGGATGTCGTATTTGATTCCAGGCTGCAGTCCAACAGGAGTGGCACACTACACTGTCACTCGAAACTTGTACCTAATAAAGAAGCCATAATTATTATATTGATATTATTTTAAGTCAACTCAGTTAAAAAGCATTTCTCAGAGGAAGACATGACACAAAATGACATGAATCAACTATTTACCTGCTGTGGTCGAAGCCATTGTTGTATAAGATGTCGCACTTCTGCAATTTCCAACAAATGTCTCCGTATTTTCGTGACATTTAAACTACAATTGACACAGCGTAAATGTCTTCTTGATTGAGTCACTGAGCGCTGGGAACAACTCTGGCCGGTGTGAAAGCTGGGGTCATCGTTAATAAAGGATATCGAGTCCAAGTTCGTGCAGGGGGTATCGTGAGAAGCGGAAGCGGAATCCATGTTCAGGCCGTGGTCAATGGGGTGCGAAGAATTGTCGGAGTCCATTTAGTAAGCTAATTAGTTGCTTAGACAACAAATCCGCAAGAAAACAAACAAAATAACACAAACGCAAACGAATTCGACTTGTGACTATTTAGTTGTGATTTTGACACGACAGAGACCTAGTAGTTTTTTTTTGGAGTTTATGGCCTGGCATCTAGACCTTTAGGCTAAGAGACCTAGTAGTTGTCAGATTCGATGTTGCCACTTAACAGACATAAAATCGATAAATCGATATCTATTTTTAATTCGATTTATAATTTCATTAAAAAGAATAATCTTGAGGCGCTTAAGTTCTGCACGCCTTTTGATATATATTTTCTTTTATTTTTTTAAATTCTAATTTAAATGTGTTTTTAAGAAGATTGGATATAGATTTAGAATAACAGTTAAATTGTGCAGTAACGTTTTTGTTATGCTGTAAAGAATTCATAGAAAATCAACTAGCAATTCGCTTGTTTAATTATCTTAACATCATAATACTTATCGAAAAATAATATTTGCATTATAATAATAACACTAAAAAAATCGATCGAAAAAAAGGGAATCGATTATTTCAACGAGATATGTAATAGGCAACACTTTTTGTTTCCGTGCTCTCTGAATCTTTGTTTTATCCACAAACTAATGAATTACGGATTTACCTAATTCCATTTTTATCTTTTCGGTACTTTTTTTTTGTGCAAACATGTTGCAATCTTTCTTCGATAAATGAATACCGCGATTAATAACCATAAAAAAAGATGTATTTTTTTAACAAAAGCAAATTGTTGGGCGTTTCATGGTCGAAATTGGGCATTCCCCTTTAACAATAAATGTGGTTGTTCACAGTTTATGCACCTATGTTAACAGGCTGCTAAATGGAAAATTATTAAATACTGACTTGTGATTGTGAAAATGATAATGTAAACACTCAAGCTATTAAATATTATAACATTCATAAAAGAAAATAAATACATAATTAAAATTCTATTCAGTGTTTGATATTAATATTAAAATAAAATCATATGTGAAATAGGTTAAGTTTTATTAAGTGTTAATGTTATCTGCTAAATTACCGTTTGGAGATTTAAGATAATCATCGGAGATACCCAATAATTATCTGGTAGAATGCATAAACACAAACTTTATTAATAAGACTGCATAGTTCATAATTACCAATATAGTCATTGACAAAATACGCCATCTAGTGGTAACCATGTGGTACTACTACTACTACCGCAAGCCGCGTTGTACTAAAGCATACAGCGGCATCTAGCGTATACGGTACACTCATTTGAAAACTGAAATGTGAGTGGCGCATCTATCCCTGGTATATAGTGTATTATCTATGGTTTAGTTCGGCTTCAGTCGCCGTCGTGAGTGGACATTGTTTCGGTTGTTTGCAGCGGCTCTAAAAGGTCGCTGTACAAATACACAATATTCGAATAACCAAATTTCTTAAATACTTGATTACAATAATAATAAGAGATTTTTTTTATTACAATATTTTAAAAGCACAGAATAACTAATAATAGTACGTACTAAAAGTAAGTAGTATAAATTTTTTTGTCATGGGTGACATTTTCATGGTTTTCGAGGGTGTTGAAACCGATAGGGTTGTCGAAATGTAAATCCAAGATGGCCGCCGCAATAGGTATCAATTTTTTCATCATGGGTGTCATTTTCATGGTTTTCGAGGGTGCTGAAGCCGATAGTGCTGTCGAAATGTAAATCCAAGGTGGCGGCTGCAATAGGTATAAATTTTTTCATCATGGGTGTCATTTTCATGGTTTTGGAGGGTGTTGAAGCCGATAGTGCTGTCGAAATGTAAATCCAAGATGGCGGCTGAATTAGGTACCAATTTTTTTATCTTGGGTGTCATTTTCATGGTTTTCGAGGGTGTTGAAGCCGATAGTGCTGTCGAAATGTAAATCCAAGGTGGCGGCTGCAATGGGTATATATTTTTTCATCATGGGCGACATTTTCATGGTTTTCGAGGGTGTTGAAGCCGATAGTGCTGTCGAAATGTAAATCCAAGATGGTGGCTGAAGTAGGTACCAATTTTTTCATCTTGGGTGTCATTTTCATGGTTTTCGAGGATGTTGAAGCCGATAGTGCTGTCGAAATGTAAATCCAAGATGGCGGCTGCAATAGGTATCATTTTTTTTATCATGGGTATCATTTTCATAGTTTTTGAGGGTGTTGAAGCCGATAGTGCTGTCGAAATGTATTTAAACTACTTTAAAAATTCCGTATAATCATGTTACACGTAATTTTTTTAATGCGCTTAAGGTATGCCCAATTTGATTTACCAATATTTGTAAATTGTATGTGGATTGATTACCTGAATAATAACACGCCAAAGCGAAACGGCAAGCCGCGGCTGCCGGCGGTGGCAAACATCAATTGCGTGCACACGTCTTACCTACACTAACTGCATCAAGGTCGTGAACTCGTCACATCACTCAGCTGTTTATCACTAGTAATCGATTATCACAACTTTTTTAAATTTTACTTTGACTGATTGTGATAATTATGCACAAACCCTAATTCATCACTATAATATCTACTCGACGACCACTTTTTATCTCTATGCACTTGTGACACCGGCTTATATTAATATTATAATGTCTAAACACACAAGTTGCAGAACAAATTTTTATTTTTGCAAAGGCTGCGACTATTCGCATATCCATTTCCACCTCGGTATCGAATGTTTTTTTCAAATACGAAGTGACTGCTTAATCGTACCACAGAGATAAAAATCCAAAGATGTGAGATTAGGTGATTGCGCCAGCCAGTTGACCGGTCCATCACGGCCAATCCATCTTTCACCGAATTTTCCAAGACATATCAATGTATTGAAATATTCTTCGCTTGAGCTATTATTTATTCTGTGGTTTAAGTAAGACATCGGATACAAATCACTCACGCCTTTTACTTAATTTAACAATGTAAAAAACAAATAAAACGTTTAAAAGCTATCAGCGCTCGCGCACTACTGGTTGGTGGTTGATGGTTCAAAATAGTCGCGTCGTCATTGCCACGCCAATGGCAAAGCGACTGTAGCCTGTAACATAATATTGATATTTTATGAATCAGCGAATTTATTGTGGTTTTTGATGTATTTTTTCTAATATTTTGTAAAAATCTACTGATTATTATTGAATATTTTCAACGCGTTAAATGCATGTAAAGAAAATACAAAAACCGTAATTAACATAGACATTTTTTTATCGATCTTTGATAAATGACCCGTATTTTCTGGGGGCACGGCAGTGCCCCCGCCAAGTCGAGCAAAAAAGCGGCACGGCGGTACCATCCTTTTCTCGAAGCAGTTCAGGCCATTTTACACCCCCTATAACTTTGTTCTGGATAAAACTAGAAGCATGAGTTTTCAGAAACCAAGCATGCATTGTATAGACACGATATATTTCAAATTTCATTCAATTTGAACCAGTAGTTTAAGAATTATAAAAAATATAAAAATAACTAAAAATATGAAAATAACTAGTCAAAGTTTCTTAATTTTGTCATGCACTGACTGACCGATCATCAAAACTCTAAAGCACTTCTAGCAGACGTAGAAGCTTCGAATTGAGAATACAATTAGTGTTTAGTGTATAAATCAAGGAAAAACTAAACTATTTTGTAATTTCGGTCCAGTTTTCTAGATACACCAACTGCATAAATAACTTTGTAATCCTATATAAATATATAGGATTACAAAGTTACATTTGCAGTGAATGAATCAGTGTAACTGTATAATGTGTATAATAGAATAATATATGTAGATAGGTATCTATATGTAATATTGTTCAAAGGTAACTTGTAAAATCGACACCAGCAATTTATACTAAGTAATATAACTCATAAAAGTGAACTTTACAGTAGAGGCATATGAAGGGAAAAACGTGATAACTTTTATATTAATTAAGACACTTATTTGAAATTTGGTATGCTTAATATTTAATTTATTCATCGTAAGTATTACGGGAGATCGTAGTGCTAAAGAAGTGTTATATTTTTTGCTTTGCAATCATAATTGTAAAATATATTATGCATTAATTATAACCTTAGGTTTTTATATATATTCACATGGTATATAATTATTAATTCTTATGCTAAATAACAAGTTATTAAAGTTAGCTTTATTTAACCGGTACATGCATCACTGGCGCATATCGTATTAAAAGCCGTCAAATTATATATAGCGTAGGGGAGATCCTTGTACCTTGGGACGCTTTTCTTTAAACCTCCATAATTTAAGTTCAAATTTATCTATGCCCTTGAATGTTGAAATTTCTATTAGGTAGCCAATAACATCACAATAATATGATGTAAAACACGACCTGCTATGTTTTATCAATGAGAAAATGACAATTAATTACTTTAGGATATTTGTCCCAAGATACAATCATAGCTTGTACCTCGGGACACCAATGTTTGTACGATGGGACACATTTTTGTAAACCTAAACTGCCGCCAGATGAATATTAACTCTATCAGTTGACATACATATTTCATATACCGGAGATTTTGATATGAATGGGCAGCTTAAATGCTTTGTTAAAGGTATTTAAAGCATTGAAAAACAAAGATAATCTTAATTTTATATTAATAAAACAATAGTCATTACAAAGCTTACTTACAATCACTTTTTAGATACTCAGGAAAATAAAAATAATAACAAAACTTGTTTACAAACATTACTATTAGTTAATTACGTTAACTGCAGCCGAAAGACCCAAAAAAAAAACCGAAACTAGTTTAAAATACTTTATTATAATATAAAAATTACAATATAATTACTACAATTAAAATAAGAGTGAATCAGATCGATGCTGGATCTAGAATGAATTTTAATTATTACAGTAAAAATAAGGTAAAGGTATATTGCAGAGCTCTGGTTGCATCCGTTGACGTCAATGCTCACGTTCTGCTGAGTTGCGCCTCGTGCCGCTGCAATGTATCGGGGTCGCTGCTGTGTAGGCTCTTTACCTATTAGGCTATGTTATAACTCCTCCACCCTCAGATCAGCAACTATTTTAGAACCTTGAGAGAAAAAGTTGCTGGTAATGCCTTTTCGACTTCAGATTCTTCGGGC